ACCCCGGTGCCAAGGAGAATTTCCTTTTAACTCTGTCATCATTGCCCCTCCTCTTCTCTGGCCCTGAAAAAAATACATTGCCGATAAGGACAAAAAAAGTTTCCTTTTTTCTGAAAGCTTGCTGTAATTATTCCAATTCTTTCAATTTTATTCAAGCCCATAATAAAGTATCGTGTATCAATTATATAGAATGTAGAACAAGCAGGATTCTCATCTCTGTTTAATAATAAACTTTTCCAATGGTTTGTTCAATTAATGATTGTAAACTAGCGTGTAATTAGATATGGACAAGTGCTAAAAGGCAGTTGGAAGCTGAAAAGAGGCTAGTAAGCTAGATTTTCTCGTAATGGTCGTGACTCCTTCAATTGGTAGTTTGTCATACAATTATTGCGTTCTGATTAGAAAGCATGCAGTGTGAAGTAGTCTATAAATATTCTTGTTAATGTTTAAAGTATACTATAAATAAAACAAAGCTCGGTTCTTCTTTATTTAAATAATATTCTTTATACTTTTGTGATATCTAGCCAATCTGTTGTCCATGTTTTCTTTCTTCGACTTTGATTTGCTTTTTGAATTACACTGTTGGGGCGAATTTCTTATGCTGGAGGAAAGTGATAGAACCAATGAATTGGGGTAATTTTGAGTTGAAGGGTTAAATATTGTTTATTTGTTGCTGTTTTAAGACGCTACCTACTCTTGGAATTTTCATGAGCTAACCATGGTATAGTTTTAAATATTCCGTGATGCGTTAACTATATTTCAAATAATTTTGGATTTTTTGCTAGTGATTTGTTTATGTTTACGGTTCTTGATAAACACTTAAGTAATACTTCGTCTGTCCAAGTAGGTCTCAGTACTTAGCATCCAAAAGATTATATTTAAATTTTCTGTATATGTTCTAAGTGATTCTCTTGTCTTAGTATAGTCTGAAGTACCATACATACATTTTTGAAAGTACCATATATTACATATTACTCGCTTTTTGTCGGTTGTTATTGGTGGACATGAATCTTTCCTTTAGGACTAAAACAGTGATATGGTGGAATTTATTTTAATTTTTCAATTAATCACTATTCAATATGAAATAATTGAATCACAAGGACAACTTCCTTATTAAGGAAGGAGGTGGTCCGGATTGGCGGTCATAAATATACCAAATAGTGGCAAAAGTATTTTATTAAGTTAAATAAACTAGTTTTGCCACTATTTAGTCTATTTATGACCTTCCTTAATAATACAACGGCAAACTATTAAGTATTCAATAAATTATATTATATTTAAATAATATAACCATTGAAAAATGTATAAATAGGGAACAAGGATTGTTTTCCGTTCAATTTAAAACTATACCATTCCTTACGATTAAATAAATAATCGCTAAAAAGTTTATTGTTAAACAGAAGTGAGAATTCTACTTATTCTACATTGTAAATAATTGATAAACGATACTTTATTATGACCTTGAATAATTAATGAATAAAATTGAAAGAATGAGAATAATTGCATAAATTTTTTCAACCAATACAACATGTAAATTTGAACAATTACAAGCTTCCAGAAAAACTTTTTTTTTTCGGGACAGAGAAGAGGGTGAGGAATAGATGTATATAAATGTATAACACCCTATTAATAAGGATGGATTCAAGGATCGTTTTCCGTTCAATTAAAAACTATGGCATTCCTAGCGATTATTTATTTATAAGTACTTCTCGTCTAAGAAAGTTTTATCATAAAAAAATAATAAAAATTAAAAACATTTCTAATATTATTTATGAGATATGAATGAATACTCAGTATTCTCCCCTAATTTACTATTTATGTATTTTATGTTTATTTGATTTGATCTATTACATACACTTTGGCATACTGCATCAATGTATTAATGAAAGATTAATATTTTAAAAAGGAATTCAACAAAGAATTTTATTTTGTTTGTACTGGGAATGGGACGTTGCCATAATCAGTTTAAGGAATTACGTTTCTACCTGTCTACCTAGAACACAATTAGTACTTTTACCTGTTCTTCCACCATTAGCTTTTCACATTCCAATAGGTATTAGTGGTTGTATGCTGTTTTCCTATCAATGTGTTCATTCCCGGGTGTAATTTTCAGTTTAAAAGCTAAGGCCGGTTTACACGATTAACTTTCATAATCCAAGTCTTTGAGATTGATTAAGAAAATTATCCTAGTTTATGGATTATATTAAGTCGCAAGATAAAATTATTCTTATACGTAAATTGTTGATCTAACTATAGCAGGAAACATATTATTTTTAAATACACGCTCTGTTGTGAGCTTTCGTTTCATTTTAAGCATGAGTACGACAAAAGAGTCGATATTATAAACATGTTTGAAAAGTTAAAAAATACTTGAAAACATGTTTAAAAAACTTGAAAAAAATTAAGATACTGTAGAATAAGCTAATATTGAAAAATAACCATTTAAGCCCTGTTACGGAACATCAATTAGAATAAAACTTACAACATATTAAAAATTGCTTAATTTTACACTGATATAATGAATTTAATCAAATTAGAGCTTTTTTTCGAGAAAATCGTAAAAATGTATTAAATCGATCACATAAAGTGCCACTTCCGGTTAGCCGATTGTGACAAAAAAGTTGCTGTAACATCTCAAGCATCTAAAAATCTTCAGTATGCAATTTCAGTTTTGTAGACTGTTAACACAAACACAGACCATTTTGTGAGACTTAGTAATTTGGACTAAAGAGAACCTTAAAACGTGTATATCCGTTGAAAACTGATATTCGAAAATTTTCACGATCGCAATACTTACCTTTTCTATATACTTCATATATAGGTTAGTGAAAGTAAAAATAGATTGTATTCTCTTTATGGCCCATTAGCTCATAATTGATATTACCTAAGTGTATGCATATGACTTCAGTGACTTCCTTATTCTTTGAAGGATCTATTATTAGTTTGAACGAAGATTCAAAAATAAAAATAGATTTAGAAAACTTATGAGAGGAAATGATCTTTAATAATTAGACTTGAAAATTCTTTATCTCTCGAAATTATTTTAAACTATATTCTTCCCGTTTCCTACCCGGGACTTGATTCACGAATCTAATATTAGTTTCCTTCCTTGTATTTGTAGTCGGCTTTCTCGCGGTATTCGTTGTGGATATAAAATACGTGACATAGCTTTAAATAGATAAAGTTTAGATTGATAAAAAAACACCATATAATTTCGTTAACTTTTAAATGACTATACTCAATACCAACAAAAAGTTCATACTTTTTTAGTTATTCTAAAATCTAATATCACTATCTAATCTAATTTTTAAGTCCAATAGTGTCGGAGAAAATGCGCGGACCTAGCTCTCGTAACTTTTTTTTCAGCTTCTTTTCGTTGAAGTAAATTATATAAATAAAATTAAAGGGCATCGAGGAGAAGAATTAAGCCAAGTTACATTCGTTTAGGCGCTACAGTCTATAGCAACACAGGTTTTTCTGCAGCCATATTGAAAGGAAATGGCGGATAGTAATGTCGAGGATCATCCTCGGGTGACCTCTAACTTTGATTCTAAATTTGGAATAAAAAAAAATTGTTCAGTATTCTCGGAGAAAATGCGCCGACGGGATGATTTTTTTATACGATTTTCTAGTTATATGTATCATGAAACGTAAAACCTCAAATTTTTAGTGGGCGTTTTTGAATTTTTTTTGTCGATTACAATAGTTCATTATTGAAAGTAATAAATAATAAAATAAATATCAATTTTTGACATAAATATATCGTGTATACATGTTAGAAATTCTCCCAGCTAACTTGCAGTTGCAGCCCTAACCATCACAGAGCTCATAGCCGATATCTAAACTTCATTTGTATGCGTACGGTATGGACAATTGATATTCTTCACAAAGATCGCCCCAATGGGAGGAAGTTTTATACATATATATGGCAGCTCCGTTATGGGATCCGTTCGATGCCGGTCTATGGTAACTCAGACCCAATCACCATAACGTTTATTATGAAACTATTATATCAATTGCTATTGTTCACATCGTTAACTGCTTTTGGTTGTTTCAATAACGTTCCAAACTTTTGTGGAAAAAAAAAAGAATCAATTACTAAACCAAAGACGACAGATCGTCTACTGAATAATCTTCTTTCAACAATGTATGCTATTGCAATAATATTGGAAGAAAGCTCAACCTACATTCAGAGTAAACTATATTATTAGTTTAAAATATTATTAGTGGTATAAGTATGTACTAGTTTACTCAGAAACAGGATTTATTTATATATGACAGTCTACTGAATTTACTCTTAAGTTGCGTGATGAAAAAAAAAAAAAAAAAAATATGATAAACAGAACTTAACGTAGTTTATTCGTTTAAAAGTTCCTTGTAAATGGTCTTAGCAAACTCTGATTTCATTCATAAAGTAAATATAGCTTCCTATTCAACAAAAAAAAAAAAAGTGACTTATTTAAAGAAACACAAAACTTGAATTTTCTCCTTTTTGTGAAAAATCGGATCCTTTATTAAATTTATGTTTTTGTTGCTATTTAGGTCTGCCATCACATTTTTAATTATTCCTCTTTCCGTACGGGATATCCCATCTTTTAGTATAAATAAAGAATGTTTACCTAATTTATTTTTACCGATGAAGTATTTTTTAATTTTTTTGAACTTTGAAAATAATAAAATAAAAAATGGTTCCTAGTGCTGTCATAAATATTGTTACAAGGAAATATAAACAGATTCCAACAGAAAAATTATTTTTTTAAAAACTTCATTAGAAAGTATAATGTATATCTTTGGAGTAAAACAAAAAATAAATTAATCTAAATGTCCTCCTTTTGCCCTGTCAAAAGCATTTAATCTCCGTGGCCAGTCATCAATAGCACCACGCAGAAGCTCTCAACTGCTCGGACCTGAGATTGTTTGAGGTTTTCCAAATTACGGTGTGCTTTGTAATCTGCTTCCTCTCCAGTTCGGATCAAAGACGATAATCTAGTGGGTTGAGATCAGGGCTTCCTGAGGGCCAAACCCGAGGCACAGACGAACTCCGGAATGTTCTTCTGCAGCAATTGCTGAGTTGACCTAGCCTTGTGAGCTGGAGTAGAATCCTGCTGGAAAACCCAATGACTTCCAGAAAACAGAGTATCATTTAGAAGCTCGACAACACGTTCAAAAATATCGTCCTGATAGTTTTTAGTGGATATTTTAACTTCTTTTTAAGAAAAACGGGGTTTATGGTGCCATCAAATCAAAATCCCCACCAAACCATCACTGAGGAAGGATGATGACCTCTTTCCACTCTTCCAATGACTTCCTGGGCTTCTTTAGTGCTGTGTACGTACACACGATCATTTTGGCGATTCAATTTATCTTCAATCGTAAAAATTTTCTCATCGCTAAATAAAATCTTCCGATGAAGACCATTGGTGTAACGGCCAAGGAGCACTTAGCATCTATCCACTCAATTTCTTTTAGGAAAGTGGTTAGCCTTTGTTCTGTCATTCTTGGAAATGCAGAGATTCCCATTTCCCGAGACATGATTCGTTGTTTTAAAATGTGATTTCCTCTGATTCGAGCAGCCACTGCTCTCACTGCATTTGGCGTTCTCACAGTGCGGGGATGGCCCGGCCGAGGTCTGTCACATGCAGATAAGGCATCATTATTTCTCTTTATAGTGCGGTACACGAACATACGGTTGATACCCAAAGGTTTCAAAGAGTTGAAAATCTCTGACCTACATTTTCCAATTTTGTGTAAGACGATTCGGTTTTCATTATCACCCCACTCTATGTTAACTGAGCGAAAGAAAAAAACAAACTAATTGGAATTATTATCCTCACATGCAAAGAAAATAACCTGATATAGGTAAGAATTATTTAAATAATATCCAAGGATGTAAACAGAGTTCAACTTTTGTAACAGTATTTATGGCAGAAGTACATATATATTCCTGTTACAGATATAAAAAAAAAGTTATATACCATATACAATACAATATAGAATTAGGCAACATAGTCAGTATTATCAGATTAGAGCTTCTTAGTCGAAGATTACTGAATGTCTTGTGGTAAACCTGAACATTAATACTGATGGTATTTAATCATTTATAATAAATAATCTGAATTCAAGGCTTCCCTCTGTGAAATAAAATATGTCGTTTCACTTTACCAGGTTTTCTATCGTTAATAAATTAGCTAGGATTGAATTGGTGTCCTCACTAATATATTTCTATATTTAATGGTCCCTCAAATCTTTATTCATCGGGCATTCTATTAAAAAAACATTTGCTGGCTTTTGGAGATTATTGGAGATTTGTATAGTTCTCTTCCCCTTTTAATTTATAAGCCGTTTCATTTACATAAAATGAAGATTTCATTTAATTGACTACCCCAAGTATTCTCATGTTTAAGTATTGCTCTTCGTGATTTAGGCTACTCGCATTTCTGTATTCTGAATTATATTCCAAATTGAAGACTGAGTTGGAAGCGAAGTGATTTTCAAATCTGTTTATTATGTCTTTAAGATATAGTTGATCGATTTCAGGAGTAGGATCATTATTATGCCCTAAAATCGAAGCTGAGCATATTTTTAATAATTTTCATTTCAGCTGAGAGTACCAATTAAAAACCATGTTGCGAGTATTTTGCAGTCCATTTCATGTATTGTAGCAAATCCGAGGAGTTCTGTCTTCAGTCATTTTTAGAAGAGTGGTCCACCATCTTTACATTATTTTGATGACTTCCACTTCTTTCGTTTTTATTTTTTATTTTAAATGTACAATGTGATTTGGTGTAAATTTGAACCCGATAAAGTTAACCTTAAATAAAGATATTGTGATTCGGACATGCTTTTAGCTTAACTTGAAGATACTTGATTTTGTGGGTGGTGTATGTGGTCTTGATACTGTGTGGTAAGTTACTGACGTCACCGCTGAACCTATCCTAAATATGGCTCCACCCTGTTGAAGTGATACTTTTTGTCAATTTATCCTTTCTCGAGCAGAATAAATAAGACTTACATTTACGTCTGTTCTTTATTTTTCTGCCGCTGTTTGTGCCTAATCTTTATCTGCCGTTCTGGGATATGTAACATTAAAGTAAAAATCACTAGTTCGCTCAGAATTAGCTGTCAAATTATTTCTTTAAATGGCTTGATAATGAATTATATGACTCGCTGTATTCCATATGTGTACTTACTTATCCCATCTTGTAGTGACGTATTCGCGTAGAGTATTCTAGAGTTTCCTTTCTGTCTAGTCACAGGTGGTATAACATAGGACAATGATTCCTAGCTCACTTTTACTTGATGATATGTCTGTAGTAAGGCAAGGAGGCGGAACTGCAAGATAGAAAATAATGATATTTCTTTTTTCAACTTTCGCTTACTCGTTATTTTTTTTCTTTTTGTCAGCGAAACTCGAGGATGATCCTCCTTTTTCGAATGCAAGAAAAACGATTCTGCGAATCAGGATATAAATACTGTTAATATTTTCTTTTATTCCAATCCTATTAGATTTGTTGTATTATACGATATTCATATTTAATATTATTAATTTTAAGGAGTATATAAGCATGATAATCCCGATTGTTGTTGACAAGGGAGTACTTTTCGATAGACTTTATTTGTCGTTCTTTTCTATCCAAAAAGAATGTATCATATAAATTGATATTTATTATAAATAAAACACCCTCTGGCTTAAAAGGATGCTATAGAAGAAAAGTTAAGATATGAGGGTTTTTATAAAATCCTTTTGGCTGTTTTGCTTGCTGTTGCTTCCAGTTAAATGATCAACCACTAATGCTTGCACATTTGTTGCAATAAGCCAATAAAAGACATTTTATAATGTTAAATCGCTAAGTATTTAGATGAAGTTTTTCATTGTCAAATCACAACATTGTGCACTTATTGTAATTATAATTCAAACATAATAAGATGTCGCCATACTGCGTTCAGTGTCTGACGGAATGCTCTGAAGAAGAACTACAACGTAGGTCGAAACGTTGGACAATGTAATAAAATATACTATTATATAATATAGTATTTTTTTACCGCACCGCAACTAACTCTTTATTATCCGACTAACTGAAAATAAAAGGATTTTTGTCTTATCGATGCACGTTATGAGTTTTTGCATCGATAATTCAGGATATAATTCACAAAATCCACTGCCTTCTGGAATTCCTTGCCATCTGATATCCGCCATGCCTCTTCCTTGTCCTCATTCATTTGAATATTGATATTTATCATCTCTACCAATTCCTTTTCACATCCCAAAATGACGTTGTACGAAGAAAAAATATTATGAATCAAATTTTGACTGAGGTGAATGGTTGTTGAAATTGTTTTGAGTTTTAATTTTAAAAATCAACCCGTAGTGGTTATAATATTTTTTTTTTTATTTTACCTGATTTCTGTTTTCTTTTCATTTAAATAACTTTTTTTTTTCAAAATTGTCTTACTCTTTTATTTGTTATGATATAATTTCACTGAAGATACTGTATGCATTCTTTGATTTTGATTAATGTAATTTTTGGCCAGATGTGTTTTTTTATTTTTTGTTCATAATTGTTATTCATAAGGGACCTCGTTCCAGAGTAAAGTTTACATCATATTTTATTCTAAAAACAGAGCTCCATCAAAAATAAACATAGTGACTTTTTACAATAAACTTCTTCGTCTTCGTCAGTTATCTTTAATATTTTATAGGCCAACACTAAAACATATAAAAAGTGTTATAAAGATAACAATAAATTATACAAGTATATAATCATATTAAACAATGTATATCCTTTCATCGCTAGAAGATTCATGTTTTCCTCTGCCTTGTTATACCATCTCTGCAAATCATAAAATATTGCAATGCGTTCCATTGCAGAAGTGAATTTTCATCTAAGAACTAATAATTATATCATACTATTTTAGACTATTTTTAATATCGATTTAAATATAAAGACATTTAGGTACTATTTTTTGGAGTTAGATGTATATATTTTAATTTTTTTCCCTTTTTCTTTGGTTCTTATTGCCCAAGTAGGTTATTATGACTATTTAGACATTTAAAGATTTGCGGGATAGTAAACAATGAACGTAATCTGCGGAAAAACGCACCAGAAACTGCCCTTCACTACAATACAGAATGCGGCCGATTTGGGTTGCTCAGATAAAGACTTCTGGGCGCAGATAGAATACACGAAGCTCCATAATATCTTCTAGCTTTTTGAACTTCATTAGAAGAACAAAAAGGTTTGAGACATAGTTGGAGGTATAATAAATAGTCTTCCATTGGTAGTATTGTTTTTGGAGTTGGTAAAAAGGACCAATAGGCCCACTTGCTGGACTTAGTCCCCCTACTAGTACCAATATTATGACAACGGCTATGAAACTGCATTTAATCCACTCTCCACAGATCTCTGGGATATATAAAGAGGATTTCTATATATGTATTTTTTCATGTACAATCGACTTTTTGGCGCAGTAGTATCTGTTTCCTTTATCGTCGATATGGACAATAGGAACCTCGCTTTTTCTTTAGCATTGTCTATACTTTGTGGGAAGAGTAACCTCCTCGCCACGCTCTGATAAGGGAACTCCAACCTACACTTCACGCTTTTACTTAAGCGAGGTGAAATTGATATGTCGGTTTAGCAACATCTGCTGTTCTATGTAATTAATGATTGTGTATCAATAACATTGGCTCTAGTTGAACCATCTATTATGTTTAATAATAATTGTCTGATTGAGTCATCGATCCAACCCTTATCGATTTTTTGGAAATCGTGTTCTATGGAAAAGTACACAATGAATCAGATGGTGAAATGAAATGAAAATATATTTTATTGTTCTGGGACTGTTCTCCCTTTAGAACAAATTTTAAGTACAGAATGCATGTCTGTGTTATTATAAATAAATTAAATATTTACAATAATACTTAATTAAAAGTAAAAATACAGAAGAGGAGGAGAGGAAAAGACAAGAAAAAGGCGTACATATTTATATTTATATCTATTATTATATATATTATATAAATATACATATATAAGATATAATATATATATATAAAACAAACAAAAGAAATTAATATAAAATCAATAAACATAAATATTATCTGGGGAGGGATGTACTTTGATAGTTCTCTTAGGTATATTTCGTAATCAGTCTGATTGAGAAACAAATAGGTGTGTGGAGTATGGTGCATCCCCCTTCCCATAAACGAGCGCAAGTATTGAAAAAACGTAGTGTGAATATTTATTACCATAACAGTTTTTTTTCTTCCCTAGGAATGTAATGAAATAAGGTGTGCAATGAACTTCTCAGATATTTAAAAAAAATACATTTTTTAATTTTTTTTTATTGGAATACATTTTTTTTTTTTCACATTTCTTTATTGAGTAATATTACATTTTGTCACAAGTGAGAATATTAGTAATAGTGATAGAGTAGCTCGTTTACACTCTATGTAAATGTGTATAAACAAAAAAAAAAACTAAGCTAATCAAAATAACAACTTCAATAGAGGCACTTAAATA